AGAGAGAGAGAGAGAGAGAGAGAGAGAGAGAGAGAGAGAGAGAGAGAGAGAGAGAGGGCTTATGGCGGAGAATTATAAATTAAGAAGCAAGCGGGCTACAACAACGAGGTAGGTTAATAGTGTGTATTATCCGCTTTCACTATACCCTTTTGGGCCCCGTCGAGTTTTCACCGCATAGCTATTTGCGCCATTCATCATAATAAATTACTTTCGTCTTCCGTAATTTACCGATGATGTTTCGCTTGGCCGCCACAAGCAACATTCACGTGTTTTGCATGAGTTGTGCTGCTGGAATGAGGTATCAAGGTATGACATACTTGGTTAAATTAAGGATGTTGCTTCAGATACGAGCAGAAATCACGTGCATCTAATATCAGGAGGGATATCCATTAAATTACGACTATCCTGTGGAAATATTATATAACAGTAGTTTCAAAGTCAACAGAAATTTCTTGCAAGGTTTGAGTAAATTTGGGTTTCTGAGTATAAAATTCTACAGTAGTTTTGGGTTAGAATGACTCGCCTCCTAAAGTCAGGACATAAATCCAGAGAATACACCATTAGTTACATGAAGTGAACACAACCTGATACCCCGGTGTATGAAATGCATCAACACAAGAAGCAAAGAAAGATTACTTTTAAGTAAGGACTCAGCGTATTGAGATAGATATCGCGCTGGTGACATACTCAGATATACTCTCAGTGCATGCTGGCAGCATCGATCGCTTTTCGGATTCCAGCTTGTACGCTATGGCGGCACTTGTGAATCGTTGACCAAATCGAGAAAAAAACTTGCCGACGATATAATTGTTTAAGATGGATGCTCACATTCAGATGTGACTAGTTCGACCAGACATCACAGCCATATATTAATGGAGTAGCCGAATGACGGTATGTCATAATATCCCTTCCTCATCGCTCACAGGGGTCGCCTTACAATTTCATCAAATTTTTCACGTAGACGTTTCTCTGGATTAAAATTCAGAGTCCATTCAGACCCAACAGATATTGTAAATTCCGTCCAAATTTGCCGATTTGGGTCTGTTTGAGTCGTGGGAGGACAATCGCTCACATACAAATCCAAGTCATTATTAGTAGAACCCACCAAGCCTGTTCATGCCACATGCCAAGATCTTATTTCGTACTTAAACGGCTCAGTATACGAAGATGTATACGCTGGGCGATTTGGGGGCGGTTCATTCAAAGAACCGTTCATGGAAATTTTGAGTAGAACTCACAATATCGATCCATCAAACGTAACGGACGGTCCAAAACGTATCTATAACCTATAACGTCTTCGTTACGTATATAATCTGTAATGTTAACCTATCAGCCCATGCCGGAGTATATATTTCTTCTATTTTCAGTTGCTTCCTCATGGCCAGGTAGGTCGTAGGTCGGCGTCATCTTTGCTTCATTCTCAAATTCGAATCTAGAACACAAATCACAATGGTTTTAAAAGCGATGAGCCGATAAAGACCGATTTTAAAATCGATCTTTTGGTACTATCTGTGCTACAAAAAAAAAAAAAAAAAACCAATCCGTAGTAATATTACACGATAGCCACTATCGCTCGAGCTAACAGTAGCCTCTGAAGATGAGCTACTCGATAAGTCGCCAAGTACACACTCTGATACGAACGCCAATACTGACCTCAGAATCCAATGGGTCTCACATATTTTCATAGAAACATACAAAGCATCGTCTCGCGTTTTCATGCATTAAAAAGGCTCCAATAAAAAAGAACCGCAAAAAGGGGGAATGCAGCGTGCCTATAATCATTTAGCCTGGCAATTTATACGAATGAGCGCATTTTCAAACACACCGGACACATCCTCCAAGTTTCCCAACAAGTGCAGCATAGGTGTGAGCATATTGCTTTGAGCCAACACACTCACGACGCGGCCGCTTGTGCGATCCCAAATGAAAGCCGTCGATCCATGCAGGACAACTCGTTTTCCAATAAGTCTATCCGCGATTGCAGAACAGCTACCTTGTTCTGAGTTTAATTCGCGGGGAAACAAATTCCGCAGCGTTTCAGTGGTGATAGTTGCATTCGTTTTCGTGATTGCAGTCAGGACTGTATCGCCACCCCGTAAGCCTTCAAGCTCAACGTAGACGTCGTCGAACCATTGCAGAAACCTCCAACTGCTTATCATCGACTCTGGTCCGAACCCAACATTTGTTGCCACGTCCGGGGTCATACTCTCTTCAATGAAGTCCATCTGCTGATTAAAATCTGTTGTTTGATTTGGTCCGAGGGCGAGGCCATGACGGAAGAGTCGGAAAAACTGCGTCACCACCACCCAAATGTTATTCTCCCCTAGAATCTTTGAAGTGACTGTTTGGTGGCGCTTCGTCAGCGTATTAACCTCAACACGTAGCTGCTCATTTATCTTCTCCATGTCAGCGATCCAGTCGTTCTGCTTTTTGCGAAATCGTCTCTGATTTTCTCGGCATTTCTGGCGGTGAATATCTTGTCCAAGGCGTATCAATTCAAGAATCTCGACATGATCCATCCCTCTCTTGAGTGGTACGTTGGTCGACTGACCGATTCCATGGCCAAACCCGCCAGTACGCCTAATGCGCTTGGGGCTTGCAGGGTTCGTGTCATCCCATTGCTTTCTGTTGGTAATCTCGTTGATTCGATTCATGAGAGTTGTCGCCGATTTAGATGGAGAGTGGAAGATTGTTGATGGGGAAGTTTGTATGATCTTGGCAAAAACGAAGTGACGTATAAATGAGAACAGTGGTGCCAAAAAGAAGTTTGAGGTGACGAATCAAGTAATCAAGCACAAGGGACACGTTGATTAGTCACGCGGCCAATATGTCCACGCTGTCATCACGAGTCACGTGATTATGAAATCGGCAGCAACCAACTTTTTCGTGAGTGGAAAACATGTATGGTGCAACTATGTATCCAGGCTCACATAAACATTGATTACATTGTGTACATGTGTTTTCGATGTCATCGCGAGTCACGTGACCTCCAAACACTACCGGTCAGTTTAATTTATACAGGCAGATAAAAATACACACGTTTCTAAGCATGTCATCGAATGCATATATACAAGTGTCGAGATCAACGATGACTTTGTACGAGATAGAATTGGCTGTGCCCACAACGGAGCTGTTAGTAGTGGCAAAAGGCTAGTTGTAATCATCATAAGTAAATGATAACCTTCTGCCGTAATGAGGGTACAGCTAAATAGTGCCCGGTGTACGATGCGAGAATATTCGGTAATCGAGACAGTGTGAATCGCTGCCACGGGAAATCGCGAACTCGA